AGCAAGAGGTGAGGAGAAAATAATGTAAGTGAATAGCTGACCAGGGATTTTCAGACTCACAAAGAGTTCTTGTTGTCAGAATATGTGTGCGTGCATTTGCAGCATATTAAAAACCTTTGCAGAAGCTATGAGGGATGTTTTTTCAGGTGTCTGAAGCAACCTGTACAGCTGTGTTGTGCTGGAAATTGCAAAAGCTGCCTCACAGAAACAAAATCAGCTGTGTGAAGTACATGTAGGAAATTAACTGAAATAGTTTCCAATCTAGTAAATCTACTATCAAATAAAATAACTTAATACAAAGTGCAAGTCATAGTTACTCCAAAGTACCATTCTGGAAGCTGCTTTTTTTGTTTGTGTTTTGTTTTGTTTTTAATTTATTCCTGTGGAACCTGTGGAAGGGGACTGTGTGGAGCTTGCTGGGGGTCCATCCCCGTGGGGATCCACAGTTAGCTCCACATAGTCCCCTTCACAACAACTTTTATATTCCCAGTCAGTGAATGTTTGTAAGCTTGCAGGTTTGGTTATTTCAGTTTGTGCTCTCTTCTTCTCTTAATGTATGTTTTTTTTTTTGAGGACTGGGGAGCGTTGTGTCTTTGTTCAAAATATTGCTCATGGTAGTTCCTGCTTGCCATAGCATCAGACCACTCTACTGAAGTGATACCTGGAATTTATGAATGTGTCAGTAATCATGACTGTTCCTTTAGCTAAGCAACCTATGTAATTCTTTCTATATTTTGTCATGCTGTCTGTGTGTGTGTATGGGACATGGTAAAAGTTTTACTATAAAAGACATAAAGACATTACATTGAAATCACAGCTGTTCTCTAATATCTACGTACTTTTTATATATAGATTAAGTGAGGGATTGGTCAGAGCTTGACTTCCCTGTGTATGGTGCTTCTGAACAGTTGAGCTGAGGAGAGTTTCCTTGGAGGGCTATTCTGATTACGTGGTACTGGCACTTGTGAAATGTGACAACAAGACTGTTACTTACCTAGCACTAACTTGTCATGAAGTTTTGATAGTCAAACATAGTGTAGGACCAGATATATTTATATATTTTGGGAAATTCATTTATGAGCATTGATAGTCCACACAGGTAAAAACCCTGCAACATTGGGTCGTATGGACAGATTTGCACTGTGTAAAGAAACAGATGCTGAGTTCCTTGGGACTGCACTGTCTGGGGAAGACCAGGACACATGGTGAATCCCGTGCCCAGAGAAGATAGAATGTTAATTTGGAAGCTGTGTTTTAGGCACTTGAGCTAATTAATTTTGCCTGTCATCTAAGGTTCTTATTTTCAGTTCAGCCTTATGTTAGGGATCTTCTTGTCCCAAGATTAGCTCGGTGTCATCACCACACTTTTTTGTGAGGCTTGCTCATCCAAGCTGTTTTTCTAACAACGAGGAAGAAAAATTGCTTTTTATTTAGCCACGCTTTCAGAAAATTGTTCAGATAATGCTAGTGCCAGTGACAAGATAAAAACCTATGGTGGTGGACGTTAAAAAATAGACAATTGCAGTGTTGATAGGGAAAAAAAAGACTTGGTTTCATCATAGGAGACATTTATGAATTAGAAATTTTGTAGGTATTCATGTATGTTAAGTCTTCTTTTTTTCTATCTGTTCTTCACAGGGATATTATTTCTCTGGGAAAGGAAGTAACCAAATAGGGTTCTACTCTGCAGAATAAATGTTGTCTGGGACGAGGCAGGATCTTGAGGTTATTGTGTCTACTTGGCTTCCCTTGAAAACAACCGCATGATAAGATCGTGAAAGCAAAATAAACATTCATACTGAATGACTACAGAACTATTCCAGGTCACTTCTTTTTGCCCTGCCTGCGATGTTTTACAGAACCAAGTGGGATGGAATAGTATCTATTGAAAATGATTCTGCTAAAATTAACAGTTTTGAGGATTGAGAAAAGGAGCATTTGGTATGAGGGTACCATCTCTGTGTTCCTGGTGCTAATGGGTGTCTTCATGTTCGAGAAAAATTGTGACAGTCTCGATTCTCAAAAATGTTTAGCTTTAAGCTTTCTCAAGTAGAGAAAAAATATTACAGGCAATTTCTTAGAAAGAAAGTCTGTTGGTGGTGGCAAATTCTGCAATACTGTTTGTCTAATTTTTTTTCAGTGTGTTTTAATGATGAACAGTCTCATTTTGAGGTGTGTATGCAATCTTGCATATATTTTTCTTGAATGTTTATGTTTCCTTCTTGCTTTCTAATGTTTTATTTGTACATAATACAATTGTTCCCAAGAGATGTTCATTTTTGTTGTTTTTTTTTTTTTAAAACGTATTGTCTAAGCCTAGAAATTAGCTGTGCATAGCAAATGCAGTTCTCTTGGGGGTAGTGCTGAACCCACAATGGACTTCATGTGGCCTGTTGTGGGCAAATGAAACACAGATGTTTTTGTGGTGAGATTAGCATTGTGTATGTTTATAATATATTATCAGGGTTTTAATGTATCTCTAATCCCAGTTACACAGGACAAATACATGAACTAGAACCCCTCTGTCAGGAGCCATTCCACAGCTTGAAAGAAGAAGTAGGGTATCCGTGTAATTTTTGTTTTTCCATTTGCTGCTAAATTTCAAAGATACTTCAAGTGCATAGCAGGTTTCCATTAATGCGTTTGGGTTATTCCCTAACTATTCCTGACTTCAGAGTGAATTGTTTGACATCCTCCATCTAAAACCAGGTCTTCTGAAACAGAGTCCAGGCTCTGTGACAACACATTTTTATTCCTTTCTTGACCAGCAGCAGGTTAGTTTGCTAATCTGTGGGAGCACTGAGGATCACAGGATTTTTATAGGTGTTGCCTATTATCAGGAAAGTATTTGACTACAGGTTATTTGAAGCTGCATAAACAGTGCTATGTTTGCCTTTTGATGCTATTCTTTCCTTTGTTGTCAGTTAATATATGAGCATTTACTGATATCTGACTGTTAGTGTTGCATTGAGGTGGTATTGATTTTTCTTTAAAGGCTGTGTCTGGATTTAAAAATTTTTAAGTAGCCTGTAGAAATCAGAACAATTTCAAACTTATAAATGGGATGTGTACTTCCTTGCTTTTCTTCCTTTCAGTTTCACTCTCTTTTTTCTTTTCATTCTATTTCCCATTCACTTCCCATTTATATTTTCTTTCTGTTATTCATTCTATCCCCAAATTCCCTTCTTGCATTATACTATCCTTCATTTTCTGATGTCTCATTAATCTTCCAGTCTTTGTGGCTTACTTTTCCACCTCCACAAGCACACCCACAGGATGCCTAGAAATTTTACAGCATACCCAATTGTCAGAAAACTAAACCTACAAGTCCCAGACCCATCATACTCTGCTAGGAATGCTTGTTAACGCCCACACTGTTTGGGAAAAGAAACTGGTACACTTAGTGTAAGGTCTGCAAACCATACTGTATGCCTAATATTACATTGCTTTTCACTAAACGTGGGACCTCCTCATTGGGATTGAACAAGGAAATAGGATCTAGCTTGTTTGCTTTAGTTGTTATTCTGATCTTCTTAGTTATACAAAAAAAACTAAAAAGAATGCCATGGACATGGGCTTATAGCACTGTCACCTATGAAACAATAGATTTGGGGAAAATGAACTGTTCGTTAATAGATTAGGAAATTGTAAGTGAATGTAGTGACAAATTCTCAGTCCAACAGCCATATCATAGCTTTGCTCATGTGGCATCAGTGCAAGGTTCTCACACTTGGGAATTAGATGAGCACATCCACTTTTTTTCACTCAATGTCTGACTGAAGAAAACTGTCACCTGGGGAAGGTGAAGCGTAGTTGTCTTTCAGTAGAAACTCCTTTACTGTTAAGTCAGCAGCTGCTATTGCTGCAGCCAGAAGCAAGAGCAGTGTGATGGCATGGGGCTTCAGTGCTAGAGAAAAATTAAAGTGGGGTTTCTAGTGAGATGTTCTAGTGGTCTCAGGTGCTTCTGTCCTGTCTGGGTGCAAGGATTTCTGTTGAACCATGTTCTTTTCTGCTGGCAGAGGTCACTAAGAAAAGTGGCAAAAAGTTGCATCTCTAATGTATGAATGATCATCTGATCTCCCCCTCCACTAATTGCCTACAAATTGTAAAGAAAAAAGGAGCAGTCAATGTTTGGATGGCAGTGCTTTGTTCCCAGAGGCAATAAGTCGAGGCTTTTTTATTGCTGAACAACACCTGTGCGAATGGGTAGTGTTGCTCAGTGGAATTTAATCTTAATAAAAGGTCTCTGAAGCAATGGACCTGAAAAGTTTTTTTGGATAATTTTTTACTCTCTTGTATTTTGGAAAAGCTTCCAATACATAGCTTTTTTTTTTTTTTTTTTTTTTTTTTTTCTTTTTCCTTTCCCTTGTTTGTCAGGCTTTGGAAGTAATCACTGTGTTGCTTTGTATTCTTAATTCTGCTATGAGTAATGTAAGAATGTGACATTTAATATCAGCACTACAAATAGAAATGTAGAAATACAGTCTTTATTTCTGTGTCAGTCAGTAGTGGGGTCTTGACCTGATTGCTTCTGCTTGCCCTAGGGTTAGTATTTTCTTTTTTAAGTCTGTATGAGATTTAATCCACTGTTTAGCACTTAAATGACAGCACTGTAACAAATATTATGTGTTGAAACAATATTACTAGTTGCACCATAGGTGATTATAGCTGTACTGTAACTAACCTAGGAATTATTGAATCAATCACTGGTAACCCACCTCAGGATATATTGCCAACTGTGCTTCCATTTTTCTGTTCTTATTCAGAGGATACTGCCAAAGGAAGCAAAGCTAAGCATTGCTAAGGAGACAAAGGAAATCATCCCTCTCCTTTACTCTGTCATCTGTTATGCATACAGTTTATTTAATGTTAAATGAAATGGATTAGAAGTCTGAACTTTAAGATGAACTTATCCTGTAAAATGATTTCTAGATCATGAGTGGGGAAATCCATATTGCAGTTAAAGGTCCTTGACATTTTTGAAAACCTTCTTTCTCTAGAGTCCTACTCAAGTGGGGACTGCTCTTCAAGTTTTTTATAACCTTGGAACTCTGAAGGATACCATTGCTAATGTGGTGGATGGATACTGCACTGTGCTGGAGGAGAACATAAAAAATGCTTTGGATATCAAAGTACTGACCCAACCATCTCAAACTGTTACAAGAGGTATGATATTTGTTTTACAGAGAATTGTACCTGGTTTGCTTTAGTAGAAAAAGATACTGTATCAAACAGAAGAAACTCACATCCAGACCTGTCACGGGAATGTTTCCCTCCTTGCTTTGGGCCAGTAGGTATGTCTTAGAAATCATCCAATACAAAACTCAAACTGAGTCTGTTGTTATTGTGCTAAAAGATTTTCCCTTATTTTTTCATCCTTATTTTCCTCACTTGCCCAGGAAGTTGTCCTCTTTAGTTTACAGTTTTGCAGCCTTCTCTTATGAGTTTGAAATGGAACGATGAATCCAAATTTTGCTTTCTTTGTGTTGGTGAAAGTGTGGATAGAGATTGTCTGCAAGCAGTGGAACAAACACGAGACAACATTGTGATGCTTTTGTCAGATGGAATTCCTTTCAAGGCATTGTTTTTAACACAAGAAAATGTTGCACAGTTCCCACATGTAGTTCCTACATGTTAATTCAGATACCGAAGAATACTGAGAAGTTATGGAGGGACAAATTTGAACATTGGCAACATCACTGAATCACATCATGTAATAGATGAGGTTGCCAGGGACCTCTGGGTCCAACTCCTTCAGCTCCCTGCTCAAGCAGGGGCATGCAGAGCATATCCAGGTGGCTTTTGAAGATCTCCAAGGAGGAGACTCCGCAACCTCTCTGAGCAGCCTGTGCCAGTGTTCCAGTACCTCCACAGTAAAGAAGTTCTTCCTTATGTGCAGTCAGAAACTGTTGTGTTCCACTTTGTGCCCTTTGCTTCTTGTTCTTGGACTGGTTCCATCTTCATTACGCTCTCCCTTCAAGTATTCGTATGCATTGATGGGCATCCTCTTCTCCAGACTGTACAGTCCCAGCTCTCTCAGCTTCTCCTTGTAGGAAAAGTGCATCAATCCCTTCATTAGCTTGGCCTTACCTGAACGCTTTACAGTATGTCCATGTCTCTCTTTGTCCTTGAGAGCCCATAACTGGACACAGTACTCTATCTATGGCCCACCAGGGCTGAGTATAGTGGGAGGATTAGCTCTCTTGACCTGCTGGCAACACTTTTCCTTATGTAGCAAGGAATACTGTAAACATTTTCTTTGTGGCAAGGGCTCATTTCTGGCTCATGTTCAACCTGGTGTCCACCAATATCTCTAGCTCCTTTTCTGCAGAGCTGCTTTGCAGCTGAATGGCCCACCGTCGTTTTGTTTCTCAAAAGCAGTGCTCACTCCACACAGTTTTGTGTCATTTGTGCATTTATTCAGGATTTGCTCTATCCCATTCCCTAGATCATTTATGAAGATGTTAAACATGGCTGAACCCAATATTGACTCCTGGGATTCTCTACTCATTACTAGACTCCAGCTAGACTTGCTCCACTTACTGCCATCATCTCAGCCTGTTCATTCAGCAAGTTTTTGATCCACCTGTCTACATATCCAACCTATACTTCAGCAGGTTATCTATCAAGATCTCATAGGGGACAATGTCAAAAGTCTTACTGAAGTCTAGATAGAGAATATCCACTGCTCCCCTTTCATTCATCAGGTTTATGATTTCAGGTTGGTCAGGTATGACTTCCTGTTGGTGAAACCATGCTAACGACTCCTGATGATTTTCTGCTCTTTCATGTGCTTGGAAATGATAACTAGGATTAGCTGTGGTGAAAATTTAACACTTTTAAAAAACTTGCAGCAATTTTGGGGTCTGAAAATATGATCACTATCATAATAAAGAAATACAGCCCCCTCAAGGAGATTGATGGTATAGAAGTTTCATGCTCTTCAGCTGGAATTTCATTTCTTTCAGTTTGCCTGTACATTTAAGTTCTGAGCTGAGATGGCTATGTCTTGCTATTACATGCTTCAGCATGCCCATTGATGTTTCTGTGGAGATATGAATCAGTAAAACAGATAATAGTGATTAACCTTGAGTTATCCTTGTTGAACTTTAGCATTTGATTGAAGTTTAGAAGTTAAAACAGCCAAAGCCATTCGCAAAGCTTTGTTTCGCAGCTACTGTAGGCAGCTCTGGTCTTTTTCAAAGGAAATTTCTTATGCCAGTCTATGTATTTTATGTTTCACATGTGAAATCTGAACTGTGCTATTATTTGTTTTTAAAACATATGTAGGTGGCCCTGGTAGAGCTGCTATGCCAACACCTGGGAACACAGCAGCTTTTCGGGCAGCTCTCTGGACCAACATGGAGAAACTCATGGATCAGATCTGTGCTGCTTGTGGACAGGTACTCAGCAGCTAATTCCTAATTGCTTGTGAGGCAGTTTCGTGTATATTTGAAGGTGGCACTTTTCCTCCCAATTAATTATTTCTTACAGGTGCAGCACTTGCAGAAACTATTGGCAAAGAAAAGAGATCCTATTTCACATGTCTGCTTCATTGAGGAAATAGTTAAGGTAAAGTTCCAATTTAGTTAATTTAATTTAATTTAATTTATCAATACGTTTTAGTAATTGTGATAAGGAAATCACCACGAGAGAATGCTTTTGTTTGAAATTTTAGATCTTGATAACAATTCTATAATTATAGTAATGGGAAAGCACTGGAAGTCAAAGTAACGCTGAAAGCTTTATTTATGGTCTTTGGATTACATCTGTAGGGTAGCAACATTATTTTTACAATAATTTCTTTTGTTTTCTTTAAAGGGAGCTGATAAGGCACCACTGTCAGTTTTTATTACTGATCATTAATGTCATTCCATAAAATACCATGTGATTTGAGCAATTAATTAAGTCTGTTAGTTTAGCATAGAAAAATGTTTCTTCATCTAACACTTTCAGCCATCTGTTTCTCTACTTCTTGGCAATATTTTCCTTGAAAAATAATCACGGCTGTTCTTTTGAATACCTATTCCTTTCCATTCAATTTCATTGTTTTCTATTTGTATTTGGGATAATGTGATTAATGGTTTCTTTCAGTGTTAGGAACAGGAGCTGAAGCTTCTGAAGCTCTTTCATCAACCTTGGTAGATGAGAGGAAACAAAAACAAAAGACGTGTTTACGCAGACATCTCTTTTTTCCATGTATATGACTGGATTTTTAATTTACATGAATTTAATTTTTGAAATACACTGGGGAAACTGTTCACATGCAAATGTGGTCTTCTCAACAGTAAGAGCAGCCAGTGGAGGTTAAGCACAGTGTATAAGTTGATCTGTCAGTTAAACCGAGCTCCAAAAGGTGTTGCATAGAGCATTTCTTTTCTGTGGGGTGATTTAATATCCTCTTTCTGTGTTGAAAAAACAAAAAAAAAAAAAACCAACACCAAAACAACAACAAAAAAACAGCAAACACAGAAAACAAACCTAACAACAACATAATCCACAGCTCAAAAAGCTTAGAAAGTTTAGCTGCTTTTTTTTTTTTTTTTTTTTTTTTTAATATTTTGTTTGGCAAAAACAGCTATTACTGCATGTCATTCAGTAGATTAGGTTTTTTTTTAAGAGAAGCTTAGAAACCTGGAGACAGAAGGAGGAACTCTGGAAGATTCTGGAAAAACTGGGGTGGAAAATGAGCTGAGATAAATGAACTTGCAATGTCTACGACTGTCTCCCATCTTAACCCTGTGCCTTCTCAGTTTCATTCTCCTCTTTGGTAGAACAGCAGTTGAGAAGAGGATAGGAGGTTTTCCAGTTGTTAAGGATGGTAATAAAGGGAAGCCAAAGAAAATCTTGTATTGTTCTCGAGAAAAATTAAACATGCAAAAGTAATTTCAAAAGAGGCTAGATGCAGAATGGAAAAAAGTTGACTAGAAGGTAAAAAGCTTTAGGGCTGTGGTGTGCTAGGCTCATTCCATGTTACCTTTTGTGACCTTTCCTTCCCACAGACTTTGTATCACTGGATTACATCTAAGTGACAAATTGTATTTCCTAAATGAAGTCCATCTATTTCTTTACCCACAATTGTCCATGTTCAATGATTTTACTCTTCAACAGCTATTTTGGCGATGGTTGTCATTCTCTGTGAACCTTAGCTAAGGAGCACTGGTACATCCTTGTCCAGGTCTACTAAAACTCTCCTAGCATGACACGGTACTACCTAAAAGGTATGGCTCCAGCCTACAGATGGGTGAAGTCATGCCATACAGTACAGCTGTTTTTTAGACAAAGTCAGACACAAACTAGATGCTGCTGAAATTCAGGAAAGTACGTGCAGGTAGCCAGATGGGAGAGTGTGGATTGTTGTGTACATTGAAATTAGAAATAAGTAAGAAAGTGGTAATTTGCCATTTACTAATGAAGATTCCATCTATTATTAATCCTAACTGAAACAATACGCTTTCTACAGAAGATGCTTTGTAGTGGCAGAAAAGTTGTATTTCCTTTATCATATTCAATTTCATTAATAAATGTAGCAAATGAACAAAACAAACTAAAGGTACTAACATTAAATTCATTCTCCAGGGCAGCATGCCCACAGCAGAAGATAGGAAAAAATCATCCACTCTACAGTCTGTGCACTAATTACTGTTACTGATGTCAACATTGTGATTATAGTCATCTTCTGCAGCAGCTGCAGTACCACTTTGCCTGTCCATCTGCTTCCTTGTTTTGATTACTGCAGTGTTAAGTATCGTCCTAGGAAGAATAAGAGGAGACCCAGCTTTTTGAAAGCACAAGTCCTTGGAAGCAACTTGCTTTTTCTTTTTTCAATCATTGCCTTTTTTTCTATTAGGATTTTTTTTTTGTCTTTCTCTTCACTGCCTGCATTTTCCTAATTTTGTGTTATGATCTCAAAAGTGTGCTTTCTGGCCTTTTAATTACCTGTTACCATACTCATTCTCAGTAGTGTTGTACGCTGTTATATCCAAGTATCCAAAGAATAGTGAAAAAAACCCAACAAATTAATTAAAGGATTCACAAAATCAACAGAAAAGAAAACAAACAATAACAACATAAAAAAAAAACAATAGAACTAAAAAATCTGACTGATAGAGAAACTGAGGCATAGAACTTTATAAATTTATAAGTACTGCTGGTCAGCATCAAGACAATGACAGTACCCACATCTTTTCTACATTGTGGTTTCTCTTTTTAGTAACAGAATTCAATTTCTTTTTTTTTTTCACTGTTAAATATGGTCAAGAGTAAAGTTGGCATACCCAGACTTGCATGAGTACCACAAAGAATCTGCAGATGGAATTTACGCTCCTGTTTGTTCCACTTCTCCCCTTTGCACATCTGGATTCTCACATTTGTCCTTTTCCACAGCATGAAATGAGTGCAAAGGAATTTAAATCTCCTTTGAAAAGGACACGTGCCCTGATAGTACCTTGTCCCATTTCATGCTAGTAATGAAATATAAATTCATTTTTGATCTGTAAATACTGAAACTATAATGTGCATTTCCTAAAAAATGACCTGAAGATATTTAAAGGAGAGATACACTTAAGACTGAATTGACTTCTTTTTTCCCCCTAGTCTGTGAGTAGACTTCTTTAATGACTAGATCTTAGTTCATAAGCAAAGCTAAGAATTCAGAACTCATAAATTCTGATATATGGTTTTGTGGAAAGAAGATTTAATTATGTACTTTTTTTTAAAAGATTTTTTTTAAAAGAAAAATTTTTTTTCATACTCTTGAGGGTCAGACATGATTTAAACAATGTAAAGTTGATATTTTTGTTCACCTAATGTTGGGCTAGTTTAATCACTTCTCTTAGTTGCTTAATTTACCTTCAAAGAGCTAATAGGTTACTCCAGTTTACTCTGCTTTATTTCTCTATGTGTAGTGACTAATCGTGCTTCAGCTATTTTAATACCTAAACCACAATTGACTTCAGTGTAAATCACAGCAGAGCATATCATCCTATGACAGCCAGTTTCCTAATTGGAGATAAGAATCTCTCCTAGCCCCTTGTGGAAGATTTGGAAATGAACTCTGATCCTTATCTATTTTGGGTCTGTCACTCCTACGTAGGCATCAGTGAAAAGTTCTGCAAAGTGAGAAACAACCCCGAAAGTGACAAATGATTGTCTGGGGGGTGTTGGGCTGGTCAATAGGTGGAGTGAGCCGGGTTTTGTCACTAATGGGAAGAGGTCAGGAAAGAAGGGCACTGTCCGTGAGAGAGCAGAGCTGCCTTTGATCCCTTTTGATCAGCTGATGTCCACATTTGTTAACAGCTCAGGAAGACAGCAAAACCTGTCATTTATGTAAGGCTTTGGGTAAAAGAGGGAGCTGAGAGTTACAGGGAGTGTTATTCTGTGTTTTGTGGAGGGCTTATATCATTGCCTCTCCTGGTGAATGCTTGGTGAGTAAGCAGGCTATTTTCTTGAGTTGTCAGCACTGTCAGTACGAGGTGTTAACGATACAGAAGGAAATGTCCTCACAATTACATCAGATAAGGAAAATAAATGGAAAATATAAGTGTTTATTTCCCAAAACTTACATTTCACCTTATTTTTTCTCTCCTGTCCAAACTTGTTAAAAAGATGTCACTGCTTTAAAGTTACTCACATCCTAACATCACATGTTCACATTCAATTGACTCAATTAAAATAATCCTAAGTGGAAAAAATTAAAAATAATCTAATTACTGCCTTACTTAAATTCACAGAATAATCTTTCACCTATTATTACAAGTATGTGATTTATTTTCTAGTATCTTTTGTAGAAGCAGAGTTGGATTATTTTCTTCTGGTGCATCATTTCTGCTGTGGTTTCTGTTTATTATTTAAGCATTAGCAAGACACTTTGGGGAGATCTGAACACAGGTGAATGAGCAGGTTTGTCATCCCCAACATACTAAAGATGCTGTAAATTTCAAAACTACAGCTTTTCCTGCTGACTTCTGTTGCAAGATTTCTCTTTAAAAAAAACAAAAACAAAACCAACTTTTACTAATTAAAGAGTCTTACTTCTTGTTTTAAATGGATCCATGTGTCTGCAGCCAGCCTTGTTGAAAGTAATTCAGTTCTAATTCAGATGGGAGGAACAGAGCCCATGTAATGGTCTTCTAATGACACTGCGTTTTCTCTAGGACTTTAATTCTGTTTGCCAGAAATGTGCAGCTCTAAATGGTGTCAAGGCTGCATTGGTTGGTAGATTCTAATGACCTATGCTCATTTACACTTCAATTTTGTTGGGCTCTGTGCCGATTGTAGTCCAGACATAACTGAAAATTATTAAGTCAGCTAGACTACAGTCAGGTTACTATTAGAAAAAAAATACATTTGATGTCAGTGTCACCTTTTATCATCCATTTTTGTCAGTCTTAACCTGAGCCACTGGGGTTGAATGGACATGATAACAAACTACCCCTTCATCCCTGGGTGAGGTACATTATAGTCAAGGTGAAAGTGTAGAGTTACAGCTATGCATACTAAATCAGTTCTGTGGGCAGAAAGCAGCTGCCAAGTCCCTTGGGTAGTTACTGGCTTTTGGAAACACTGACTTC